TAAGAGTCGCCTGACAGAGGCCGACACTGCTGGGGCCGATGGCGGTTTGGTTTTTTAGACCTTTTAAGCAACAAAACAGCGGGACGTGTCATTTTGTCGCGCGCTCTCCTTCCCCAGCAAATATGCTGCCTGCTGTCATTGGGACTGTTGTCTGATGATCTTTAAACGTTGAAATTGTCTGCTGTGGCTTTGTGACATGTGCTGTGATCAGAACCTCATTATATTCTTTCTGTCTAACACTTTATATTACATGTCAGGAGGTGCACATTTAAATAGGCAATACTTTCTGTCTCTTAAATTTTTACCTTGAACCATCTGCTCCAACAGAAATGATCAATAAACATATGTTGAAAAAGTTTCCTTCTGAAGTATTCCCTATTAATTAAATACAATATGGCCAGTCAGAGCAGGTTGATCTGAATTTCCTGAGTGTTGCCTTAAGCCATATACAGTATAAATGCAGTGCATTTAGTTACTATAAAGATTAGAAAAATGTGCATTTCTCTAGCATTACCACGTAGTAAATAGCATATTTACTACATAGGGTATCAACACTGTTAAATCCAAATTTATTACATGTGCATTTAATGCTGTGCAAAATAAACAAATAAAAAATAATCTGCATGACGACTGTCGTCATCCACATAATCGTGACTCGATGAGGCTGATTCAAAGTTATCTGAGTCGGCGGAGTTGAAGACACCTGGAGTGACCAGAATGGACAGGGTTAGAAATGAGGCGGTCAGACAAGCAGCAGATGAATGAATTGGACAAATGAATGAATGAAATAAACACCTGAAGACAGGTCTTAGTGATGAATACACTAATGTCTCTTCACAGTTTAACAGCACAGTGGATTGAGGAGGAGTTTACACCCTAACACCTCAATATGTTTTCACACATAAAAACACAGTTATTGTCACACTCTGTCGACTAGGAAAATGTGTTTCCAACTGAAATGTGTGTTGTCTCTGCAGAAATAAACATATCATTGATGTTACAGGTCATGGTCAGAAAGTTTTGTTTCCCTCACTGTGGTTTACCCACACAACATAGGCTTGGACAACTGTCCAACACAGCCTTCCAGTCCACCGCGTAGTCATTGAAAATTAACTTAAAGAAGTATCGATATGGTATTTGGAATTTGGAACTCTGGTACTCATAGCGGTTTGTAAAATATAATTTCGGGACATCACTCATAAGAGGTGAAAATGTCTTTTTACATAAGCAGCCACACTGAAGACATTAGCCTATGTTACAGTCTAGTCCTGTGTGCAGCACAGTTGCACGTCCAGACAATTGTGTCATTCCATCAGAGTTTGCCGAGTCGGCTGCGCACAGACACCACCGACTGGTGTCATTACCAAATACCTGTTCATTTGAGATTCTCTGCCCCTCCCTTATATGACAGTGGGAATACTGATTAGCTCCACTCAGGGATGTAAACTTGACATTGATGTTATGCTAATGCAGTGTCACTCTCTTAGCTACGTTCCTACACAAACACAGACACACCACACCAAGCACCTGCTAGCATAAGATGTGCATTTTCATATGATATGCTGATATCAAAAACTCATTTTATGCAGGGAAGGATATTAGAAATAATTCTGCTGTAAAAAATAATATGCCTACACCACTGTTCTTCTTCTCTTACCCTTTTCTTTTCACTCAACCAAATAAACATGCTGCAGTTCTTCTGACACACGTTTTATTTTATTCTATTTACCATGAAAAGAAAAATGTGACCTTTGATTGTGCACATGGTGGTAAACGTGCAGCACTGCAGTATGAATCCAGCTCAGGGACATAAGACATAAACCATATGTTTGCCTGTTTCATTTTTGAATCACAAACACAAACGATTAACCCTGGCCCTCACTGTGGTTGGTTCACAGTAAGTCAATATTGGAGAGATAAACAATCCTAATCAGCGTGATAAAAACCTCGCTGGTGTGACCAAAGGGACAGTTTCTATGATTCTTAGAAATAATTATTCTGCATGCACAACTGACTCTGCATAAACAAACAGAATTAGAAGACATAACGGCAAGAAATCTGTGTGTAATGTTATCTTTCTGTGTGTGTTTACTAACAACAGTCTGTTTTTTCAAATTTACATGAGAAATAGATTTCTTCTCGTCATTTTAACGGATGTCTTTTTAGACTCTATTCTATACCTTACACAAAACAAAATTTGACTCTTTTGCTTTTTCCAAAAAAAAGAGGAAGTAAATAAAATTGGATTTTAAAGTTGCCAGTGAACAGATAATAAAACATCACAATCTAAACATCAACTTAATCAAACAGTAAAATATAACGTTCTATCTACTTCTGCTACTTCTATCTAGAAAAAACAAACTGAACTTAAACAATTCTCTATTCTCCATCAAACCCATCAAAATAGCATACTCGTATTGCATACACGTATTTGCACCACAGATCATTTTCAAGTGGAACAATTTTCCACAGACCAGCAGCAGGAGCAGGGGAGTGTATGTGGTCCAGCACATAACAATTAAGTGCCTCATATGAAGTAATTTAATTTTGACATATATTGTGTCCATCCATTTATCCATTATCTAGCGCTTATTCCTTTGCAGGGTCCCAGGGGGCGCTGGAGCCAATATATAACATTTCTCTTCAAGGAACACATCCTATCCTAACAAACCCACTTACATTTAACATGCACCTTCTCATCTGCTAAATGTAAGCTAATGCAATATAAATATAACTGTTATTTTATATTGTGCACCTTTCATTTCTATTAGTTTGACATTGCAATTCATATAGAGGTGCGAACGAAAGTTAATGTTTTCAAAATAAAATACCAAACTGACTAAAGCTAATTTAAAAATAAATATACAACTAAAAATCTGTGTGGCCCTGTACTAGTCCCCAGACCTGTGGGTGGGCATCCTGGTGCTACAATATTGTCCAAAGTCAGTGATCAGCAACATGTCCCATACCCCCAAAGATCCCAGCACTATTTTATATGTATGTGGTGGTGGTGAACAAAGTAACATTATTATCAGTTAAATAAATGATAAAACAGTTGTCAGCATTAACTGATTATGCATTACCAAAATAGTAATCTATCCATAATAAGCTATATATTTTGGACATATATTTGACAGAAAGACTTTGTTAAACCAAAGTTACTTCGAAAGGTTTTACTCATTGAATTATTGCCTAGCTCTGACACATACACAACAGGCACTTTAATGTCAGGGCCTTTTCAAATCCTACAGGGAGAGTTGACTTTTGTTTGCCTCTTGTAGCCTTGTACTTTTCTTCCTCAACAATGTCAGTCTACAACACACAATACACAAAATAACAAATGTAACGCAGCAGCCTCATATGAGATCAGACTGTGAAGCGCGTTGGTCTAGAAAAGAGAAATGTACTTAGTAAATGAGCTGCATTTGAATAAAAATGTTAATTGGGGCTTATCAGAGGGCTGTTTTATGCACTGTGCCAAAACAGCAAGTCAAGTGGATTTTAACATCTGAGATAAAACATCACAGTTGTTTTTTCACTCTATTCCCTTCACACTAATATGCTGAACAAAGCCGGAAATTGGAACAGTTAAAGATAAAAACAACAACACTTTGCAGTCGACTGCTTAAGGAAAGTTGGAGAAATTCTTCAGCACAGTGGAAGCCGTCTTTAATTCCTGCTTTCTGTTGAGATTAACTCTGTCAAGGTGTCTGTTGTCAAGGTCACTGTTAACCGTCATTAATGTACCAGAATAAACTTCAAAAACCAATATGAATCACTTCCAGCTCATAAACCCCACAATCTGGGCCACAAATAAATAACAATAATTAATATTGTTCACAAAAAATATCAGTTTTTTTTTTAATGTATTTAACATTGATGTGGCCTAGATAACTGATGATCTCAGGTTACAGCTTTAACCATCTTCAAAAGAGGTGAATATATATAACCCTATTCGAAAGGGGTGAATATACACACACACACATATATATATATATATATATATATACACACATATATATATATACATACATATATATATATAATATATATATATATAAATGCACCTTAAGTCCTATAGCATTTATTGCTTCAGCTACGATAACGATGTTAAGACATTTTAGTCTGTACAGAACTGGAACTGAGAAAAACCCTATAAAAAATACAGGAATATTTCCAATATTTTCAATCAACATATGGCCCTCATAAATCTGTTATTACAGTAAGTTGCACAATAAATCAGAGCTGTGAATTGCAGACTTTGGTAGAAGTCGTATTGGAGGAAAGAAAAAAAAAAACCAACCTAAAATCTATAGAAGCCAACATAAGTGCTCCAGCAAAAAGAATGAAGTGTGATCCTTTAGGGAGACCTGCCAGAAAGTTCTTCAACACTACTCAAAGAAGCAGCAGTCTTTTCAGTTTATCAGATTTGAATTTGAATGACATTTTTGTGTGCTTTTTTGTAAGCCCTCTAAAGAAAGATAATGTGTTGAATATATTTGAAATTGCATAAGAGGTAAGAATACTGGCAAACGATCACAAAGGAAAATTACTTTTTTGGACGTTACATAATGAGGTCTCTGTACTTGACTGGACCACAATACTTACACGATCACAAGAAACGTATTTTTGTTAATTAAGGATAAGGTCCTGTACTAATTACTAGGTGTACAAATCCTGTGCTAATTACCAGGTGTTTTAGTCAGAATGAGAGAAGTTTTTCCGGTTGACAAATCCTGTACTAATTACTAGGTGTTTTAGTCAGAATGAGAGAAGTTTGAGTTTTGGTTTTTTCCTTGATATTCTAAATTGCAAAACCGCGTACCCTGGGTTTATAATATTTAAGTCAGAGACAAATAAAAATGCTATTTTTTTCCTTTTCTGTCTGATTTGTCTCACATTCAGGGAGCTGTCCGACCTGACCAGAAAACGAACTGTACTTAAACAACACAACGGCCTTGTATGTCTCCCGAAGACATTAACAAAGTCTGCCATCTTACCTTACGAAAGCTGATCAAGAAATCCAAGCATGAAGTCCAAAGAGCGGGAAAGACACAAAAGTCCGGAAACACAGAAGCAAAAAAATTAAAATTAAGATACAGCTTTAATAAATATTTCTTTAAGTGGTAAGTGTATGAGCAGGCTCACCATCCTTCCCTTTCAGATGGCTGTTTTCTGTGTGATTGGTTGCAGGTGGGTGATTGAAGGGCGGGGTGTGGCGGAGACAGACTGCAGATGGATAGCGTCACATGGACAACATTTTTGCATGTGTTTTTAAATAAACATGTAAAACATATTTTATTAATTTCGTAGATGTTTCGTTGGTAGAGTCAGTTACTGCTTGTCAGCCGTCGTTTGTTTCCACTAATTTGGTGCGAAACAAACAAAAAAATCCAATACTAACCAAACAAATGAGGAAGCCCCAAACGAACCTTCAAAATAAAACAGGAAGTAAATAATAAAGACCCACGTTATTTCAAAACTAATCGCCTCAACATTACTATAGTTAAGAGTTTTTATAGGGAACATTTATACTTGAAGAAATGATCATTCAGTATCCAGACAGTATTTTGCTATGAAATCAAATCAATACATTTATTGTCTAAACTAAAAGAGACATCACGTTCTAGGAAACACTTGATCTTTGCAACGTTATAGATATTTATTTTTGAATCTTTTGATCAATTTTCAGTATCATTGTGGGTGGGGTTTGGGGTTGAGGGCAAGTACTGATGTTTCACTGTTTATGCTGGTTACATGAAAAATGAATGCTTAATAACACAAAGATGATCCAATTTCTTATTAAATGTTACAATCACTTATGTACATGTATATAAGTACAACGTTTTATAATTTGAATTATTATTAGTAACGATGGTATTGTTATTATTATTAATATTGTTGTTGTTATGGGTTGTTTTTTTGTTGTTTTTTTTACAGTACCTAGCCAGCACTCTATCATACAGTAGAGTGTATTTAGTGTTTCTCTGTGAATTTCCAGACAATAGCTGCAAAGGTCGATGAGCAGAGTATCCTTCAGTATCCATGGTGACTGATTCTTCCTACTTACACTGGAGTGCAGTGCACTGTACATCCCACAGTTGTCTGTTTATTTAAACATGGACTCTTAATGTGGAGAGCCCTCCGTAGCTGTGAGTGTGAGGTGATATTGAAGAGACATTAATCCAGAGCCCATGTCCTCTCATGTCTCCCAGGTTAAACTGTTTTGCTGTACACACCTACAGTAATTCTCTATGGGAAGATGATTGCTGAAATGAAAGAGTGATGGATCTGGGAAAAATTCATAATACTGTGAACCACGTGTGAAGCAGTTTTACAAAAATACATAATTTTACATTTAATTTCTAAATGTTTGAGAAAAGCAAAAATAAATGATGACAGCTGTATCAAGAGGTCGGCCGTCACAAAAACTGACATGGGTAAGAAATATCTGAAGGACCAGCAGAGGGATCCACAGGAGACCCCTTAAAAGCTGATGCACAGCCCCTGACAGACATTTTGAAGCAGACCACAGAGCCTCGCCACGTTAGCCTGTAGAAGCTGCATCATGGGAAGACAAAGAAATATTTTGAAGAAGCTGGCAGAGACCTTTTACATCCGACATATGTTTCTCCGTCAGGCCCTGGCAGAGTGTCTGGGAACCCTCATCCTGGTGGTATGTACAGAACAGAGAAATACAGTACTAAGATCAATATAAAGTACTTACAGTTTAATATCTGGTACACTTTTATTGAGTAGGTCTTGTGTGTTCAGGATATGAATTTGTTTTGTAATATACTCTCATATATATATTTGTCTGTATGTGTAGGGCTGTCAATTTCTTAACAACATTTTTAATCTGATTTAACAATAGCTTTGGATTATTCATGATTCCTCGAGATCTTTAAGATCCCTAATCATAAAAATAAATTTTGTAAATTGTGCCTGAAAAGTAGGATTTTATATGATTTTTAATATTGAATATTTCATTCTCATAAATCTGGCCAAAAACCATCATGCAAGGAATACAAACATGAATGCAAAATGTACATAATGCATACATATGCATAATATATATGATGTATTATATATGTTTATATATATACATATGTACACATATATATACACACACATATGTATTCATATTGCCTTTGGTATCCACACATCTGATCTTTGCAACAATGACATAGTATAAGTAGCATTTGGGGTGTTTTTCCACTCATTTTGTATAACTCAAATATAAGCTGTTATATTGCTTATATATTTCTGTAAAATTAAGTAATATTCTTCTTCAGTGAAACACTGTGAAGTTTAGACAAATCTGACATCAGCATAACAAGATTGGCTGGAGCAAAACAACACCTTGTCCCTCAGTTCCCCGTGGTTTCCCCTGCAGACAATACAAACATCAGCAGAGGGCCCCAGTGATCCAGAAGCGACCATTTGTTATGCTGCACCCCAGCAGTTACTGATCTGTTAATTTCACAACACCTTCTGGCCTCCTGGTAGTCGAGGCCCTTCAGTGACCAGGTGACCCCTCTTTGGTGGGTGTCCCTGCAGGTGGCAAGGAATTATTACCAGCTTCGGCTGTCCAACACAAAGCCCACCCATGACATGTAGGTGACCTCTGAGGTCACATCAGACACACCCGGGTTAAAACAAAAACCTGGGCTCAGCTGGGTCCTGCCACAGTGGAGACTTATTATTCTCTTTGAAGTTTCCCTGCTGCAGTCTATCCAAAAAAAATGACTCCATCTCAAAGTTAATTGTTTTCCTTTTTGATCACATATTTCATGGTCATGAATATAGAATGTCGAAGATGCAAGTTCTGAGCAATGGAAAACCACACCCACAACATTTAACTACGCAAATATTTCACTTCACTTTCAGTTATTTGTAGTGGAGTGAGTAGAAATGATAACACAACCAATACAAGGAGTTGAAAAAATATTTTATCAGTACTTTTTAAATGAATTACTAGACATTTGAGCTGACCCCATTCAATTTCCAGGTGACCCCACATGGGGTCGTTAACCCAAGGTTGAAAAACACTGTCATAGAGCAAGAGCTATGAATTCAGTATTGTCAATAGAAAAGTCAAGCTAGATATTTTCTAATAAAGGAGTTCCTCAGTTTATTACTTCCTTCCATTCTGCAGCTCACCACAACACATATTCAGCTTCAGTGAAAACTAGGTCATCGTAGTTGACGCACCACTTCGAGATCTAAAGAAAGTCAGTTTAAATTGTGGCGGAATCTCTAAAAATAAGGTTTTTCGAAGATTTCTTGAAAAATCACGTTGAATTCTTGACTCCTGTTTTTCTTATGATCTTGAAATGATGCGTCGTCTCCTCTCAGGAGTCAGGCGTACGGTCAAACCTCCAGCTCTCGTCTTCTTTCATTCAGATGTTTGGTTGTGGTTCAGTAGCACAGCTGGTGCTGAGCAGAGGATCTCACGGCACCTTCCTCAGTGTCAACCTGGCTTTTGGATCGGCTGTGACACTGGGCATCATCCTGAGTGGGCGGATCTCAGGTGAGAGAATGAAACTTTTTTAAATGATCTGATAAAAATATTATTGTACATCTAACATAGTTAAGGTTCATTTTCTGTTTGGACTTCTGAGGAGTTTACATGTTCATTCACTCATTCATCAACTGCTGCTGACACCTGTTCCTCCATTGAGGGTTGGAGCCAGTGTGTGTTTATATATATATATAAAAAAAATAATGGCTAAAAGACTGTATTGGTGTTTTAGTCGTTTCAGTGACCCTATTCAGAGGTCACCAGATCATCTGCAGGTCAGGTTAATGCTGACTATACTGACCCTGATGTGAATGTGAATGGTGACCTTTCCAGGGCAGGGTTATACAACATCCTGCTTTTCACCTGAACAGGATGTACAGGAATTACAAATAGAACGGATGGAATATTTTACTAAATATATATTTTTCCTCAGTGCGGTTGTTTGGGCTAAATATAAGGCACAAGACAGATTTTTTTTTTTTTTTGCAGAAATGGTGCTATTAAAAAGAGAGTGACGTTAAATTGGGCTGTAGTCACCTGCATCCCTGTCATGGGGTACAGGAGCAATCATTCCAACATTATCATCTTTTTTCCCATCAGAAGCATAGGTTCCATCAGCGATTCAGCAAAATCGGCAGTCATTATTACTGATGGTTTGACAGACATTAAACATCACTAAAAGTAAAGCGGCGGTTACTGCGAGTTCAGATTTTTCTGCCTGATGACTGACAGCTAAAGGAAGCGAAGAAGCAGAACAAGAACGCCATGGACGGAGGGAGACAAGGTCTAAAACAGACACGTGCACATGGGTAGAGGGGACACTTGCTTCTTTACTTGACACCCACAGGTCGGTAATTGAAAGGAGCGTGAGCAAGTGGAGGTTCAAACTCAGAAGATTCTGTCAAACGCAGCAAAACTACAAAGGCTCCTGCGCTTCACTCGCGCTCACTTCTTCAGTTCCATCTATAATGAGGCTGTCCTTCCTCTAATACAGATTACAGTGGTGAAAAGCAGCTCTTTTAATTAGATGTCTCCCACCCTGACATGATCAAGGTACAGATAGCCACACCAGTGTGCTGTCAGAACAGCAGCCCTGATTTGACGTTAAGGTTAGAGAGAAAGGAATGAGTTTGATTTTTTTTTTCATCCCACCAATTTAATGTTTGACACAGGGTCCTTCCATCTTAACAAGATTTCACCAAGACCACAGTTACTGAAAAGCATATTTAGCATTAGCATTAGCATAAATACCTGCATGGATTTGTAGATTCATTTGCCAAGGAATCTGGCGTTCGGTACGAAGGTAAGTGAAAAGGTGCCAAGAAGTCTGTCAATTTTTTTTAAAGGTTCAGTTTTATCATAAAAAAAGAATGTTTTTTAGTTTTATTTGAATCTGTCAGAATATTTTGTCAAGGTTGACCGGTGATATGTTATAATCCATTACAATCTAAAAACAATCTTAGACAAAATCCTGTTCAAATGTCTTTGCCTAAAAAAGTGGGGAAAGTGAAAAGAAATTTGAAAAAAACAAAATACCACCCATAGCATTCCGAAAAGAAGGAATCCTCTGATGCTAATCCAAGTTGCAGGAATGTTAAAATGTAGATGGGGGATATGTGCAGAAATAGGTGCTTTTTTTTTTAAACTCACCCTCAAACTTCTCTGTCTTCAGGTGGTCATCTGAACCCAGCCGTGACCTTTGCACTGTGTTTACTCAAAAGAGAAGAATGGAGGAATTTCCCCTTGTTCTTTTTCTCCCAGACTCTCGGTGCTTTCCTGGGTGCCACCATCATATTTGGGATGTATTTTGGTATGTTAACCTGCAGAGGGAGCAATCACATATAAAATGATCTCAGCTCAACAGTGAGTACTTTGTGGCATTTGTTGATGGCATGTAATAAATCACTGCAGGTGGCGGCGGCCTGTCTGACAATTTGTTTTGTGGCCACAAATTACAAAAGAGTAGAAATAATACACTTTTTTTTTTAAGCTCAGCCCAGTGCGTTGGAGAGATCAAAGTGTTGCTGTTGAACTTTTCTGCTAATAAGGGAAGCTCTGCATGAACAAACAAGGATTATAGTTCAAGTACTTCTCATGAGAATATATAACATGTGTGGTTCTCAGTAATGTATGACAGCAGTCCTTAACCTTCTTGTACCAAGAACCGGTCGGCCGGTATCAGCCTTTACTGCGACCGGTAATCACAGACCATCATTGAAGGATCATTCATTTTAAAAAAAAAAAATCCTTCAGACTTTATTATGTTAGTATCAGAAATCGAATGACCTAATATTTTAAAACATTACCAGATTATCTGAATGAAAGGGATATGACTGGATTCTTTTTGAATAAAGTAAATGAGTAAAACTGAAGTACATTTTTTCAATGTGTCCCACTGCGGCCCGGTACCAAATGAACTACGGACAGGCACACAAAGTAAAAAACAAAACAAAACAAAACAAAAAACCACACATAATACTAAAGAGGTAGTAAAACTAAAGATACTACACAGTGGTATCTAAAATGCACTAATACTGAAGGCAGTGTGTACTAGTGAACTTTTGTACATTTGTCCTTGCAATCTCCATCCCTGTCCCCAGATGCATTGTGGGACTTCAGCCACGGTGAGCTGATTGTCGTTGGGGAAAACGCCACAGCTGGGATTTTTGCCACATATCCATCAGAACATCTGAGTCTGGTTAATGGATTCTTCGATCAGGTGACATTTTTCAAGCTGCTTAAACTCTTGTTGTTAATAATCTCTGTCATTTAACAGTAATTTGCACGACTGATGCGGTTGCTGCTGAAACTGCAGTTTCCGTCCCAGGGCACAAACACTTGGATCACTGTCCAAGGCCTGTTACATAAGACTACAATTCTTTTTTAGTAAAAAGAAAAAAGAAAGAGAGAGAGAAAACAATTACCATCTTGAATAGCCACCTCAGGTCACAGCCGTGCACATCAAACTGAACAGACTGCTTCATTGTCTCCTCTGAGGAGT